TCAAAAAAAGAATCGAATATACACTGACTTTATCCTTACCTTTCGAATGAGTATACACCGACTTTATCCTTACCTTCCGAGTGAGAGACATTGTTTTCTAAAGACACACATCAAAACAATCGGATCTAAAGTGCATATTTCAACTAAACTTTCAATCAAATATGCTCAATCAAATATCATAAGAATCAAAATCAAAATTCATCAATAATCAAGGGACCGAAAATGTTACTAACCAAAAAACAAAAAAAGTAGACCAAAATTAGTTGTCTCGAGTCTTAACACATCAATATATAAAACCCAAATAATCCTATTCACTTTCCTTTTAAAAATCTTCCCCTCAAGAAATCACACAAAATCTTCAAAAAAAACCATAGGTTATTTTTTTCCACCTATATATACTTTCTCCTCACATGTGCTTCACACTCCATACTTTCTATATGTCATGACTTATAAAATTACCACACAAATATAATATATAGTTTTTTTAATTTCTTAGCCATGGCTAATGAGATGGAGAGGGATAACAAGGTTTATATAGCAATAAATTCAGATATACATGATGGTTTTTTAACCTTACAATGGGCACTCAAAAGATGGAATTCTCACTCAATCACTATTGTTATTCTTTATGCTTCTAATAACATATGTAAAGATTATGTTGTAACACCAAGTAAGTGTAATTCTATTTTTTTTATTTTTTTTTAAATTTTTGATTGATTTAAACACCCTTTTCTTCATTTTTTAAATTTTTTTGTTGTTGTTGTTTATAGTGGGAAAGCTACCAAGAGGATCAGTAAATGAAGAAAAATTGAAGGATCTTGAAAAGTTAGAAGAAGCAAAAAATCAAAAAATACTTTGGAGATACAAAGTTTTTTGTGGAAATGTATATATTTTTTGATAATTCTTTTTTTTTTTTTAATAAAAACTTTATGTTAAAAAAATCTTTTTTTGTTTGTATAGGTGAAAGTTGAAGCAATCAAGATTGAAAGATATGATGAATCAATTCAAAAATTCATGGTGGATTTGATCTATGGTCTTAAGATAAACAAATTAGTCATATCATTGACTTTCATGAAACCTTCATCATGGTACCAAAAAAAACAACAAAAAAACCCTTTTTTTTGAATATTTTAAATCATTTTTTAATTTTTTTTTTTTTGTAAATTGTTGTTTTATAGGAAATCAAGAAGTGCAATAAGTGGATCATTTTTTGTGCATAGACAAAAGCCAGAATTTTGTGAATTATTTATTATATGTGGAGGGAAATTGGTTTTTCTAAGAGAAGGAAATAATGAAGGATTAATTGAAGATGATCAAGGAATTATGGTTGCTAAATCAAGATCAATGAGACAAAGTTTTAGAGATTTGGTTATAAAAATGTTTCCTGAAAATAGTTCAAAATTGTTGAAAAATCAAAGTGATTTATCATCATCATCAACAAGTAATATTGTTGAATTTGATCAATGGGAAAAATATAAAAAAGAAATTGATAATTATATGTGTCAATTATTGTCTTCAAATTTTGAAGAAATTGATGATTTTGTTGCTGATGAGATTCTCCACAAGAACATCATTACAGAGCTTGTTATGGCAGAAAATATGGTATGTGTAAATACCTTTTTATATTATTCGTGTATTTTAACTTGTTGTAACACGTAATTCGCGTTATTTTCTAGGTAAACTTTTTATAGACGATTATCTATAGTTATTTTCTTAGTAACCGAACAAATATTTGAAGATAAAAAGTTAATCTCAATAAATTATGTGGCTATGATTAGTTGGAGTAGTTGCAAAGGGATTTTTATTTTTTGACAAGTCAACTTTGGATTTCTTTTAATTTCTTTATTTGTTTTTATTTTAAATTTCTTAATTTCTTTGCATAATTTGACATAAGAATTTTCATGATAGTGAGAGGACAAACTAGTTGCTTGGTCTAACTTGCGTGCATCTCAATTATTCGTCTCCTTGCTATGCAAATGAAGAATGACTACTGTTACTAAGTTTTAGGCGGATGAAAAGAAACCGTCAGCGTATTTTGTCTTTGTTGAGATTTGAATCAGGTGTTTCTTACTGATTTTTATGTGCATAAAGTTGAATATTCTAATTACATTGGTTTTTTTTATGAGTTTTTTTTTCTTTTGTTATTTTTTCATAATTCATGTTAGTCTGATTTATATTCAAATATATTAGACTATACAAGAAAAGAAAGAAGCTTTGAGAATCAAATTTTTGGAGATTAAAGAAGCAATACAACTAAGCAGAGAAGAAGCAAAATCTCATGTTGAAGGACAAGCTAAGGCTCAATGGGCTATCACTTTATGTACTAGAAGAGTAAGTGTTACAATTTTACGCACTACGACTAATTCCACGGGTATCTATACCTTCCACTAGTGAAGGTACCCTGTAACTCTGTCTACCAAGGCTAAGACATATGGGATTTGAACCTCGAGACCTTATGGTTCTCAGTTTATTTCATTGATCACTAGACCACGTCCTTGGACGTGTCATACTTAATAGCTAGTTTCATTTTGCAAATTTACATACTTTAACAGTTTGTTGTATATATAGGCTGAGGAAATTGATGGTTGCATAAATGATGAACTCGCGCGAAAGCCTGATCTAAAGAGAGAGTTAGATACTACAAAAGACGAGCTGAGTGAACTTCACACGGAAGTAGAGGTCACGAAGAGTAAACTCAGCTCGATTCTTGAACTACAACACGAGTTATCTATCAAGATGCAGCTGTCTTCTGTGGCAAGATCGCGTGCTGAGGTTCAATTGGAAAAAGTATTGAAGCAGAGAATGGATACAGTTAAGGAGATTGAGGAGTTTAGAGGGCAAAGAGATGTTCTACGAAGAAGGATAACGTTTTGTAGAGAAAAAGACGCGATAGGTAATGCTTCAATGCTGATTGAACCGAGGCTCGAGTACAAGGAGTTCAGTGCTGCAGAAATTAGAACAGCCACAGATGGATTTTCTAATCTTATGAGGTTGAAATCTGGTGGTGATTGGACTGATGTGTATAAAGCTAAGCTTCATCACACATCAGTTGCAATCAAACTGTATAGTTCTGCTGATGTTGATTCTGAAGACACCTTTCTAGCTAAGGTAATTCAACACTCATTTCTTTAGTTGCAATTAAACCGGTAGAATTCCACGTGTCAAAATACTTTTGACTATGGTTTAAAATTATATACCCTCCGTTATACTTCAAGTTGGAGCTCTGTTAGAGTCAAGGGAAAATACGAGATGATATGCTAATGGCAAAGGTATGAGTAGCTCCGAAGTATGACAGAGAGTAAAATTAGGATATTTCGTGTAGTAGAGGGGTATGTTTGACCCTTTTTCCATAAATTAACGATATCATGAAAATAGTAACATGACATGTCTGACATCCAAAATTTTTTGATGCAGGTGAAGTTCTTGAGCCTTATGAGGCATCCACATATGCTATCGATGATCGGATATTGCTCTGAGCTAAGGTGCATCGTGTTCGAGTATATGCATAATGGTTGCTTAAGAGACATTCTCTTCTCAGGCACCAGAGGCTCTAAAAGGAGAAATTATGGCCTAAACTGGCAAGCTAGGATATGTATTGTAGCCAATGTTTGTACAGGCTTGTGCTTCCTCCACCGGGCCAAGCCAAGGCCCGTGGCTCATGGCAACCTCAACCCTTCAAAAATCCTTCTTGATCGTAACAATATGGCGAAAATCTATGATGTTAGGATACCTCTGTCATGTGACAAATCGGATTTAAGATCAGATATCCGGGCTTATGGGAACTTAGTCTTACAGATTCTGACCGGAAGAAACTGGGCCGGGCTGGTTGAGGAGGCGATTATGATGGACCAGAGTAAGCTTATTGAAGTGCTTGATCCAATGGCCGGAGAGTGGCCATTGGATATAGCACTGGAGCTTGGTAGAATTGGAATAAAGTGTTTGTCTATTCATGAAGATAAGGAGTTAAACATGACGAATTTGGCAAGAGAGATGGAGAAAGTGAAGAAGTTAGCTGATGAAATAGTAGCAAATGGTGAATGTGTTGTGGCAAATGGAAGAAATCTAGATGATCATGAAGACTCAACAGAGTTTCCTAATTTCTTCCTTTGCCCCATTTTACAGGTTCGTTGTCTATTTTGTTATGCTTTACTTGAGCGTAGGGTCTATCAGAAACAACCTCTCCATCCTCATAAGATAGGGGTAAGGCTGCATCCACACCACCCTCCTCAGACCCCACTTGTTGTCGTCTATCCAACATTTTAAGGGTGTCTTTGGTACGAGCAAGAGTCATTTTCTGGTGTTTGATTGACAAAATTGTTTCTTTTGTTGTTGTTGCAGGAAGTGATGAAGAATCCACATGTTGCAGCTGATGGATTTTCATATGAGCTAGAAGCTATAGAGGAATGGCTAAAGAATGGAAGAGATACATCACCAATGACAAATTTAAGGCTCAAGGGCAATCTTCTCACTCCGAATCATAGTTTACGTGCTCTGATCCAAGACTCACAAAAGAGACAATCAACTTCTACTAGATAGATAGATCGATAGATAGACAGATAGAGAGAGTTGATATGAAAGTTCATAGGATTTTGTACATGCAGGAGAAGAATAATAAAGGTAGCAACAGCAACAAGAGAACTCAAGTCTCTTAGATTTTAGAGTAAACATGGTCTCAGAACCATCTTTGACAAGTTGTTTACTGCTGAATGTATCAAGAATACCAATCATATAGTTTTATAACTTAACTGAGATATCCCGAGTGTCATTGGTGCATGGTTTGAAACTCGGTGCATAATGGACCTGCCTTTCTACCCTTAATACGATAAACAAATTACAAGGGACAATAGATAGTAACAGAAATCGAAAGAACAAGAACCTCCAAGAGTATTTCAATAAAATGCTTCCATTCATCATAACCAAAAAACCAACTTACATTTCTATAGAAGAAGAATTGATTAACAGTTGAATATATATGGGATTGCCCCATATAATGCTATATTTTGGTAAAATATGTATGTACCTTTCACCTATTTTAGCTATACTCTTTCTAAGCTATGCTTTGAATAACAATAAGTTTCTTCCCTGAAGTTTGGCATGAAGCAAAAACAAGTTTTTTCTTTTGCATTTCGTCATGTGCCGACACATTTAGCCCAGTGGAAACACCTTGCTACTGTACTCGGTAACGAGTAGTCTAACAGGGAAGAAGGATCTGTCATAATGTCTTCAGCCTTTGACCAAACGTACACTCCTCGTTCTTGTCTGCTTCCAGGGACGGTGTTGTCTAATACGAATGCCACTAATAGTGTGACCACCATGTTCAAGGACAGAAGTGCATTCATTGAAAAATTGAACTGACAACAACATAAGGAAGAAACCAGACGTAAGTTCGTTGCAAATTCATGGAAATTAAGAAGGAAAATTGAGTAAAAAGTACATTTTCTATAGAATTCCGTTCTTGTACACAAATTCCATGTTATACCAAATTGTGTACAATCAGAGGCGGAGTCAGGATTTCAACTTTATGGGTTCTAGATTTTAGAATGACGACTTCATGTGATAGTACACATTTAACTAAAGGACAACAACAGAAGTCTTTAAGATAAACTCACTTGTGCATTCCCGGTATGTACTGGTCCATTGGATGCTGCTGCATAAGGAATTAGATAGCCAGGCAAGATTAGGCCGGTCTCTGGTGCATACTGCTGAAAATAAGCGGGGACCGACAAACCAAAGAACAAGGATACACCAACAATTATAATGTTTCGGGAACTTGCATTTTGTGTATATTGCAATGTTGATAGACCGAGAGTAACAATAAGAGCCCATGTGAAGCATAGTACTGCAGCTGCTAATGCTTGTGGTATAGAAGCAAGAATAGCACCAATTTTACCTACCACATCAGTTAAAGAAATAAGAGGTTACATGTCTTTGCTAATGAACTTCCCAGCTATTCAAAGACGTCTTCAAGGCAACATCGTTTAGGCATTTTTCATAATAAAAGAAGCAAATAACAAGAACATAAATGTTCAGTATCTACAAGAATAGACCAAGAAGGAAGTACGATTTATGAAACATAGAACTTAAAAACTTATAGGCAGAGCCAAGATTTGAAGCTTATGGGTTTGGGATTCTAGTTCTTTTAAGTTGATAGGTTGTTCTAAATTAATAAATTGTACATATCCAATAGATTTCCTAAGACAAATACAGGATTTGGACCAAAGCTACTAAGTTTGACTGAATCCGTAAGCTCAACTCTAGCTCCGCCACTAAATTTATTTGAACAATGCTACATGTTCCATTGATGAGCCTTCTTTATGGCTGAACTGCCAAATAGCAGGAATCTGTCTTTTCGGTTTCACATTTATTAGCAAAAAAATTCATGGACCAGTATAGTACTGTAAAAGGGGAACGGAGACGAAGAAAATCTTGCAATGCCTCTTTCCATTCATCAAACAAGTATAGAAATTTCCACAGAAGTAGACTAAAAAGAAAAGTAAGACAAACAAATTGAAACGGAGGGAGTACTAACTAGAAAAAAAAGAAGGGATAGGATAAGCTTTTTCCTGCTTCAATGACAATTAAGTCTTCATTAAATCATACCTACAAAGGAGAATAGGATTAAAAGTGCTGCTCCAAGCTGTACAGCCCTTCGGTTTGCTACTTTCGTTGCATTGATCGTGTGTACATTCTCTGTCAAAGTTGTTGCCCCAGTACCCGTTCCCCAAAGTCCAGCCAATACACTACAGAAACCTTCCAGACCAATCCCCCTGCTGACTATACCTGGGCTTGGGGGTTTCAAATTGATTCGTATTGCGGCGGAGTGATAACTCCCAATCTACAATGTGCAAATCTTAATCAATAATTGGTCTTGAATTATGACAGATGGTAAGATTAGTAAAAGACAACTTTTTTTCTTTTTACTTTTTTTTTCTTTTTAAGAGTGAAGGATCAAAAACACACCTAAAGTATCCCGATTTTTCAAGTTTCATACCTAAACTATCAAGTGTGCGAATTTCCTACCTATCACCAAATGTTCATCGAAACACACCTCGACCCGGACTAGACCAAATGTGTTTCGATAAACATTTGGTGATAGTTCAAGTAGGGAACTTGATAAAACAAGATAAAATTTAGGTGCGTTTTTAACCCTTCGATCTTTTCTAAAAGCAACAAGAAAGATTTTACAGGAACCAAAAACAACAAAGAAGGAAGTCTTTTTTTAAATCTTGCTGCGGAAATATAATCGGTCAGCATAGAGAAAAGAAGAGTAAGATTCCTTTTCCTCTAATAATAAATTATAAAAGAAGATGATATGCCAGAAATGCCAAATTGTGAAATTGAGACCTCATGTTGGTGACACACTTCAATAGAATGATTTGGATACCATAAATGACACATTTACACAGGTCACTGCTTACTCACCGAGTCAATGGAAGCAACTAGCGACACAATAACCATAATGATTGAAGTCCGTAACCGAAAGGTCGGTATACCCCATTGCAAAGGGTAAGGAATCCTGACCCAGGCAGCAGTTCTCATAGCATTGGAGACATCAGTCCTACAATGCCTCATTGTATCTGCATGCTTTTGACAAGCATCGATAAGGATGTTGGAGTTTGGTATGTCGGGGCTACAACCCTTGAAGTTATATGCACCACCAGCTGTCAGGAAAAACGCATACGCCCAAATAATCATAACACTAACAGGGACCTGCAATAATTCTTTTTGTTCGTTAGAAAACAGATGAACACGTGATGACAGTTTCCATAGTAGCTGAAAAATCATAATACATCTCCCAAAAGAGTTCTCCATAAGAAAGTTCTTGGAACTAAATCCACTATTATTATCTTGTTCGGAGGCTCCCGTCTCCAAAAACCCTCCACCTCCCAAAAAGAAAATATTCAAAGAGAAAAATAAGAGGAAGAGCAGAAAATACGTACAGCATATATACGAAACACTCGGTAACCAAAAATGGATATTCCTCCAAGGTACTGTAAAGAGAAATGACAGAACATGGTTAGTGAAAGAAAAAAAAATATACTAGAGCTCAGAAGTGCGACTGAAAATTTATGTTGCTCAGACTCTTCAAAAATGTCGACAGGTGTGTGTCGCATCCTCCAAAGACCAAAAGTAGTGTATTTTTTGGAGGATCCGACACGGGTCACGGGTGTGTCAGTATTTTTGGAGAGTCTGGGTAACATAGCTGAAAATCAGCTCATCATCTGATATTTAAGAGAATATCTTATCCATGCCAATACAAAGCTTTTTTTTTTTTAATTCTAACAAGTAAGAAAGATTTCAGTAAATAAACGGAAAAATTCCCGTATACAAGTCGTATACCAAAAACAAAACTTATGATTATAAAACATTCATACAGCTACCTACCAAGGTAAAAATAAGGATAAGCAGTATCTGAGGAAGGCTGATTTCTACACAACTACCAGCTTGTGGAAAGCCATAGCTAAAAAATGCTAAACCCACTGCAGCTACTGTTGGTGCGACCACAACGGGATTTACTAACCTGCAGGATATGTTCTTAAAACATATTGATTAATTCTTGGAAGAGTCTTAGAAACAGAACTAAAAGACTGATCAAGAAAGTCATATTTGTGAAATACAAGCTCCTACAAGGACATTGACAAAACGGGGGCTGGTCAAGAAGGATAATGAGTAAAGTGCTCAAATATTACCGCAGAAAAATGGACATCAAGCCACTGTAACCCAAGAAGCTCTGGAAAATTGATCCAACAATTATAGCTCCTTGTAACTCCCTCATTATGTACCTAAATTTCTGTGGACACCCAAAAAGTTCCATCAACAAAAAACCATCATCTATTACAAGAACATGTTAATATTTATAGAATAAATAAATTTCACGTGCAGTCAATATTGAGGGGTAGAGATGTTGTTTCCAATAGACCTCGACTGATATATAAAAAACATTTACATAAACAAAGTCTCACTAGGAGAACTTCATTTTTAACTTACATGATCAGCAAGATTCCGGTACTCCTCAGAATTCATGATAACTAATGCAGGAGCCAAATATACAAATGAACTCCCTTGAACTAATGGCAGACGGGTGCCAAAATATGAGTGCAGTATTGTGGTAAGGCCAGACACTAGCAGCATTGTGGAAACCACATCGGCAGTGTCTTTCTGTCACCACATGGAAAGAGAAATCAATGAGAACGACGAAAAACTTGCTAACCATATACTACTGTAATTCAAGTTGTAAGTTCATAAGAAACAACTCACATCACTTCCACCCATGGTGGGAACAGTAATCAGAGGGATAAAAATAAGTGAACCAGCCAATGACAAATAGTGCTGCAACCCATAGAACATAAGAGGCACTGCAGTTTAAAGACCAAAAAGAGGTCAACAGTGATCAACATAGAATCGCAGGAGATCATTCATCTGCATAATTTCATCATGAAAAGTCTTTACAACTTCATCATGAATAAAATTCACCATGAGATTTATATTAGACCATATTCTATAGCAAGGTTAACATAATTTATCCCACAGTGTATTTATTCATTTTTTTCCAACAAAAAGACAATTTTGTGATAAAATAACATAAATTTTGTTGAAGTGTGTGACCATCTCATCTAAAAGCTTAAGCTATTAGAGAGAGCACATTTTTATGATTCTACATTAATCATTATACAACAGAAGCTTCAGAGATATGTCTATTAGTCAAAATATCTTGATTTTAGCAATGAATGTTACAGTGAAGACCTATCAATGCATATTGACTGAGGACTCAAATGCTGTACAAGAAGCAATTTCTTGGAATCCTGCTAGTTAAAAAAGATTTTTTTATTTGGTTCAAAACCAAGAGAATACAACTTTGCCGCAGAAAGAAAAGATGGGAAAGTAATGGCAAAACAGAATGGTAAAAACTTACCTCCAACCGGCGTTTACATCAAGCCAATGAATGCAAGACATGTGTCATGCATATCACTTTATTGGTTTGGTGGTGTAAACGCCAGGTGAGGGAGGGTAAGTATTTACCAACAAAAAGTGCATATTACTATCTTTGTTTGTTTCCCTTGGTGAACTGAACCAAAATAAACTGACTTCTTTATAAATTCACTTCTTTAATCTATGTCTATACTATACTAAAAGTTGGAAGCCCTGAGTCTACTGTTGAACTACCAAAATATCCATCGAAAGTTGACATGCCATTTTACTCTTCACCACCACGGAGTAAAATTACCTTCAATTTTATGATTAATTTGAACTACATTAAGCAGGGTAAATAGGAAGAGATCTTTTATCTACCAATACTTATTGTTGATGTGGTAATTATCTATATTTTATTTACAATAATACAATGTCAGTTTTTTCACATTTCAACTTGAATTTATTTGCTCCATTCAGCTTCCACCATTAATAGCATTCATGTATAACCTTTTCACATCCTTTATTGCACTTTATAAAAGTGCATAGCTATGTGTCAGTTCACTTTATCATTTTCTCTTGTTTATATCATAGCATTACCAACTGCAAGTTTCCTTTTCTTCATAATAACCTATTGCTCTTCCGTCTGGCATATCTTCTTAGCACCATTTGCAATAGACAGATAATTTTATATCTTTGTTTGTTAGTTGGCTTTCTAAATAGATAAATTTATTTTCTACTTGTTGCCTACTATCTAGGAGAAAAAACTTACTCGCATCCGGTGTTCACATCAAACCACATCAACTTACCATGATTGAGTAATTTCATAACGTGAGAATACGTATCAATTAACCATGGTTATGGGAAAGAAGCCTGTGAAAACAAGTGTCTTGCATGTATGTGAAAAAAGTCCATATGCAAGCAAATGTCTTGCATCTATTGGTTCGGTGTAAGCATCTGGTGTGGTAAAAATTTACTCGCATGCAATGTTTACACCAAGCCAACGAATACATATCACATACACTGTGATCATTGAACCATAGTTAATTAATGCACATTCTCACATTAATTTATCATTAAACCATGGTAAATTAGTATATGTTGATCAACCACCAGGTCCTTGGTAAGTTTTTACAATTAATTAATCATCCGATCTCATAATTGAACCATGGTAAATACATATTGCAACCAATGTTTACACCAAATCAAGCACTTTAAAGTTTAACCTTAGCATCTAAAATTACAGTGAAAATACATATCACTTAACCATGATTAAGTGATAAATATGTGTATGAAAGATGTGTTTTGCATTCATTAGTTCGGTTTAAACATCGGATGCATATAAGATTTTACCATGGATTAGTGGGATTGATGGTCCATTTACTTTTGATGGACATTTTAGTATTCAACTTTTGACTTAGGGGATCCCCAGTTTAAATATAGTATCAATAGATAGATTCCCAATGGTGAACCTATATTTATGTCTACTGTAAGATGTCTAATTCATTTTTCTTAATAGTGATAAGTTGTCTATTGTACATTGTCTGGGGTGGCTTTTAAAATGCTTCTTATGCTTGAATTTACTTTCCACAAATGACTTCCTTAAGAGTATACCCTTCCAATCTATGCTCGGACTCTCCCAAAATGTTGTCGCACCCGTGTCGGATCCTCCAAACATACACAACTTTTGGAGTATCCGACACACACCCATCGACATTTTTGAAGAGTTCAAGCAACATAGCTTTCAATTCGGATCAAACAAGGCAATCTAGCAATATAGCAGTGTACTTCAGTGTTTAAAGGCAAAGTGAGAAAAAGAAAGAGAGGTGTGGGTGACCTTTATTTGGTGATCGTGTAAAAACCAAAAGGTGTTTGTTCATATAATTGGTGATCGAATGAAAAAACAAAGGGCATTTTTCATTTTTGGTGATAAGAGTGAAAACCAACTCAGCAGTGTTGGTAGTGAATGCTAGAAAACACAGATTGTACTCAGATTATAGAACTTCAAAATGCTTGAGATATAACTCCCTTGTGTTCCAAGGGGACTCGAGCAGGCACAATATTTGTGATATGAACCAGCATAAAAATTCCTCCGCTCCTTTACTTTCCTGCAATTTATCTTCATACTTGTTCAACTGAAAAACTAATGAGTTTGTTATGCAGCTTATTTATCTCAGTTTTCAGTCGACTAAATCAAACTAAGTCTACTCAATTTAGAGCTCACAGGCCACTAACCTCTTGTGTTTTCAGAAGGAACAATCTGTACAAATTTAAGCAAGACACCTGATTACAGCTCCTTGCATCAAGGATTGAATGCGTTATTGTGATTGCACATAAATAAATAAAAAGACACCCATTCAAATTTCACTGATTCGCCTACATTGACTCCCTACATTACTAGGATCTATGTTGCTTGGACCCTTCAAATATATCAACAGGTGCATGTCAGATCCTCCAACAATAATGCATTCCTGGAGGATCTGACACGGGTGAGGCAGCATTTTGGTGAGTCCGAGCAACATAGACTGAGATACTTCTCCCTGCTTCACTTTGTACTCTACTTAGATGGTCACGGAACAGTCTCTTCTTAGTGATGCTATTCTAAAAGATTCTTAAATTTTCGCTAAAATCATTTGACATATAGACACTAAAATAAGAATCACAACGAAGTGTAAGGGAAAAATGATTAGTTCAAGTCAGTGACCACACAACAATGTTAGAAGCAGAATAAATACTAACCAACACCCGGATTTTCCCTTAATCCACATTTCATCCGCGGAGACTGATGCCACCCTCCATAACTAGGATCCTCACCATCGGGATATACGCCCATTCCCACTTCTTCATCCACATTGCCATCATCCTTCCTTGGTACTTCTGTAACTGGAGTAGCTGCTTGAGCTATGTGTCCATTCCCACTCCCATTAACAGCTCCATTAGCACTATTACCATCATTGCCATTCTCATTCCTAGCATCTTTCCTCTCCTCATTATGACCTCTCAAAATAGGCTCCATCTCAGTTCTCCTCCCAAGATTTTCACCTCTTCCTCTTCCTCTTCCATTTCTCAAACCCTGGTCGGTAGACCCCGAAATTGGCTCAATTTCAACCCCTCTATTCCTTGCCCTTCCTAAAATAGGATCAAGCTCAATCTTTGGAGATACAGTTTCAGTTTTATCAACCCCTCTTTCCAAATCAAATCCAACATTCTCATTACTACTCACATTCAGATCTCTACCATTATCAAAATCCCTCCTACTATGACCACCACCTCTTTCAGTCTCACCAGAAAAAGTTGTTGACACAAAACCAGTCCTCTTAGCCCAAGATTTCAACTCTCTAGGATCATAACCTTTCTTTGGTACAAAAGGCTCAATCTTTGGATTTACCCCCTTTTGCCTCTCCATTCTTCCTTTCATTTCTGAGTTTGACCCACCTTCCATTTCACTATTTCCTCAAATGGGTATCAAGAAAACACCAACAAAATCAATTCTTTCTTCTGTTTCTCTCACCCCCACTACACTAACAAGAAAAGACCAAATCTTCAAAGCAAAGAACTGAAGTTTCAACTAATGCAATAAAAGGGTGTCAATAAAACACCAACAAAATCAAATCATTCTTTTGTTTCACCCACCCCCACTGCACAAAAACAAGTAAAGAACAAATCTTTAAAGCAAAGAACTGAAGTTTCTGATAATGCAATAAAAAGGTGTCAATAAAACACCAACAAAATCAATTCTTTCCTCTGTTTCTCTCACCCCCACAACCCAAAAACAAAAAAAGAACAAATCTTTAAGCAAAAAAAGAACTGAAGTTTCTAATAATGCACTAATGGGGTTGTCAGAGTGAAGTTAACATGATTTTTCTGAGCTCTTTCAAACCATTAATGGCTACTGCTTAGCCAGTAAGAGCTCAAAAAACTACTGCTCAGCTGTTGCTATCAAACAAGCTGAAGTTTCTTCTTGGGATGGCGTGGACTGTAAAGACAAGAACGACACAATTATGTAAGTTGCCGTTGAGAAATACATAGTGAGATTTGTCATTGGAGGGTTACTACTGGTCCGTATTTTCTTAAATTTCATATTAAGTTAAAATCGAACAAATAAATTAAAATGGCGAGAGTATACAATTATGTCCCTTTTTCAAAATTATGTGTTTTGGCTCCCTTAGTTTTCAAGCATGTTGTCCCTTAGTGAGTTCATGTTGTCTTTACCTTGTAAAAGGAAAACAATTTGTCTGTTCTCTTGAGTGATTCATGGACTTGATGAACTGATGAATGATGATTGTCATATTTTGTTGAGAAGCACATATTTTTCGGTTTCGGTTGATTAAATTTGTCAAAATATTTTATTTAGATATTCAAATTAAGATATGTATTAAAACATGTCAAATTTTCTTTTCGAAATTTAAACTAAAGTGTCTAACTGAAAGACTTCTTAAGAGTTGAGATATGCAATTGAAACATGACTTTTCGAATGTTTAAATGAAATATCATAACAATCTTAAGGGATTAACTATGTATTAAGTCTTCCTCCTTTTTTTCATAATGATGTTCAAACAAATTTATGTGTCAATTAATTTATCGATACGTATTACCTCTTAGCACAAATAACAAGTAATTTTTACATTGTTTAATTAGTTTATTAGAATCAGGTAAGAAAATTATGATTAAAAAGATAGGATATTTATTTTAATTTTTTTTGTATCTAATAAGTACATTAAAATCGAATACGTTGAAATTTGCATGAAAAATCTCATATTTGAAATAGGGGTGCTCCCTAATAAAAGTGTTCCATACTTGTTTTAAGACAAAGCGCTAATCAAAATTTACATAAAGAAAGGAGATTTAAGTGATTTCCCTAATATTGATTTTCTCTAATTTTAATTCTGTTTAGTGATTGATATTGACAACTCACTGAGATGTACCAAACTTTGTATTTAAAAATTATTTCTTACATGAAGTGAAATGGACACAAGAGCTTTTAATGTGCAATAATAAATTTGAAAAGAAAATAATATATAGTAGTAAGCCATGTGCAAAAGTAGCACTAATAAGTATTTAAACAATAGGCTAATTGTCATGATTTGGTTGGCTAGAAATTAATAGGTGATAATAAAGTTTAACAAGAAATAAAGTGTTATTATTAGTGAAAGAAAGCATAAAATTCAAAGGCCTTAATGGAAGTGTTTATTTGAAAAAAGTAAGGCAAGAAAGTTAAATAAAATGAAGTTTATTTGCCTATAAGAATTGTGACGGAGTAATAAGTATTCATTTATCTTTATATAGATATCTTGGCATTTTGGCTTTTGGGGTTGTACCCAGGATATGGAATCATCATCAATTATTCGATTTTTTATCGCAAATTTAAAATTAATCCTGCTCTAATATAAATATCAAATGTCTAATAAGAAAAAGGGTAAAACGTGAAGTCTATTCTACCAACAAGATTCACTATGGATTTTACATCTTGAAAAGAAATCAAACCAATCAGATTTCTCTAAGTTTATTTAAGAATGGGATCCTAATAATTACAATCTATATTAGTATATACTAATTATATGTTTTTTTGACAATCTTAAGAAACAAGATAAGATTGACACTTGGGAATTGTTGATGACGATGATGCATAACCAAACAAAAGTTCTTTGACTTCATCATCTTGTCTTTGCTTCTACTTCTCATTTCCTTGGACTCCTCTTTTTTTTTAACTCAGTTTTCGATATTTATTTTAAAATCTGATTAATTCAAATTCAAGTCAAAATCTTCTACAAAGTCTGATTAAAGATACAAAGTAATTCTATCCTCTAATGTTTGGACAAATAGGAAAGAAATCGCCTAATATTTTTGCTTGCCGCAACATGATCAATTTCGAATGGTTTTCCTTCACATCCAAGCTAAAATCCATTGGAACTTTGGATTTTCATTTTCTCCCTTAAAATTATTGCAAAAGTATAATTACTCTTTTTTCCTCGACAAATAATTTAGAAAGTTTATCCTTTTAATACTTTTCCAATGCAAGAAACTGCCTTTTAGAGATCAGATAAACATAAGATTAAAAAAATTACTATTAAAGCCAGATAAAAGTTTCACAGATTCTAAACAGTAAACTTCACAATTAATATCCTGCAAATGTCTGATTGGAGTAAAGCTTACTTTAGTGCTCTCTTTTTAAGATCCTCATCTTTCCTCAAATCTCTTTGTATCATGTTTAAGTTTTGCTACAATTTAGACCAAACATGACTCACCCGCAGTTTATCGAGAACATAACTCTAGATAAGAGAATATAAGTAATTTTGACTTGGCCTAGTGCAAAAGTATGATAAAGATGTGCTTTTGTGATATAAAGATTGGACTCTAAAAGTTGTGTGTGTGTGTGTGTGTACACATAAAGGAGATGAAGAGTGATTCAGACTCCAGAACACAAGAAAGATCATGTGCAACATTTTATATATTTCAAGGCAACAACAGCCCATGCTTAGTCATTTCACAAAACCTCTGACATCCCATATATACAATGCCAATGAGAATTTGAAGCTTCTCTTGAAAGCTAATAATTGTAGTATATGATTAGATAAGAACTGTAACCTAAGAAAGGAGTTTTTCAATCTCCATGAGATGGCTAAATAGTTGAGCCATCAAGGTTGAAACCCAGACAACAATACTTGGTGTGTTACCATTCCACCTGCTTGTATATGGCGAACAAGATTACCTTGGCAACTTGCCTGTTCGTGGGCTTTGACAGACTGTCTGGTGGATCAGTGAAGGTATGCGTAAGTTGGTCAGGACACCAAACATGACTAAAAAGAAGTATTGAAAGACTATTTATGATGCTAGAGCAAGAAAACAAAAGATAAAAGTAGAGCTAGCCGCATGTCTTAGGCTCAGAATGGAAGCAAAATCATTATGATACTGCGTCCAAAATCAGTGGCAAAGAACAACCATAAACAAGTAAGAGTTAATAACATCATGCCTACTAGAAAAATGAAGCAACATGGAACTGCCAAATATGTGGAAGCTATGTCAATCATAAACCACTAGCAGAAAAGACCACATGCCTTCTCAAGAACACATTTTGTCGTATCGAAGAAAACACAACTGTATCACTGATTGGCTGATTGCAGAATATCTACTATCGAACAATATGTGTTACATGTACTTTTACGCTACTGAATCACATATTACTCCATCAATAAGTTCTAGTGAACCAACAACAACTTCAGAAAAAGATAGTAATTTGGACGTAAGAAAACTTGCAAAGTCATCTTCAATAAAAATCATCATAAGATCTCTTAGTGTGTGTCCTATATGACTTCCTAGAGAACTCAACTGCACATTTTCAATATCCTACGATATTTGACATGATGCATGAACCATTTTAACGATTCAATGATGTTAGTAACACATAACAACCTTTAGAATAATTCTATGCACTCATTCATATTGAGTTTAAGTACCCAAGCCTTAATACTGGCAGAATATACCTATGTCCTACATGTGCTTAAAGGAAACTCCTTAAGAGATAGTTAGGATCTGACTGTCAATTGCACAAGGCAGTATGGTAGACACAGAGGTACAAAAGAGGTAAGGCATACAACCTTCAAGTATAAGATATATGGCTTTATGTGTCAGGTGTTAGTACATGATACAAAAAGGAGATAGTTGCAAATGGAAACATAGTCAATAAGGTCTATATTAGTGCGCCATACAACTGTACATGTTAGGGAACATAGAAATTTTGTCGTGAAGTTTTTAAATAAGCAATACAGAGAAATAACCTATCACTTCTCATTTTCTATAATTTGTCCTCAACTTTCAAGCTAATTGTACTCGATCTTCATATCGTTATGGAGTCCTTTACAATCAAAAGAAAGAAAACATATACTCAAAAAGCATTTGCCTTTGCCTTTTAAATCACCACCATACAGATCCTTCTCCATACATACAAAACTTTTTAAAATTTTAATGTAAACATATGAGACAATCAGTATCTACTTGGACCATAACTAGATAACTAATTCTATACTTGGATAGAAATTTATCACATAGCATAAATTGCTGAAGTTAAGGCATATCAAGCTTGCAATGGCTCTGACTGAGAAATGTCTACTACATGCATTCAATTTGCCCTTAGAGACTTCCTTCTTCAGAATCAAAGGTACTAACAGAAAGAACTAAACAACTACTCAGATATCCTATTCTAGGCCATAACTAAGCATCTAGTGTTCAGCTTCTGCTTCACTTATATGCAATTTCTGACAACGGGTGCCAGGGCAGCATAGGTACTACAATACAGCATATGTCAAGAAACCCCAAATTTCTTGAGTCTTACAGAATACGACAAACTCAAAGGCTGCAGATAAAACAGTGAAAACCTTATGGCAGATCACACATCCAATGCACACAGAACATCCACTTCTACTATTTGATTCATCTAAACGTTATTCAGGGATAAGCTCAAAACCATTATACTCAACCCCAAAAATATAAATTACAAACTAACAATTCACGCAGCAAAATCAGTATTCTACTACTTTTTTCTGCTGACACTAAAACATTACGAAAAGAAATGGCTCCAACTAGAGTGGAAGGTACACATCAACTCCAACTAGTTTATCATTGAAGTTTTCTTGAAAGACTACGCCTTTCAGCATGTGCCACCATTTCCTCATATCAATTTTGCTGTTAGCGAGAACACAAATCACACTCATAGAGTTGGTTTGGGTGTGTAGATGATATATACCTAAACTATTGCAGCTGAAATAGCTTTCTTACAAACAAAAATATCAACTTTTAACAGCAAGCCATTGCACAACCAATTTCCATTCAGCTCCTCGACCTCGAGGAACTTTATTATAAATTACTATACTGCTTAGTTCCACTATTCGAAATTTATAATCCAGATTAACACCAAGCTTAACACA